TTTGTTCGGTCATGCGTGATTTTTTTTAGGACCTCTGACTTTATTTATTCTTTAACATAAGAATCACACACTCCATCGATTGGGAGGCTCAAAAAACTAACATGTCCATCCATCGGAGCTTATAGCTAATCAAGATGTTCGCTTTAAAATTGGCATAAGCCATAAATTTGAAGCATTTGGTATGAGAGAAAAAACTTATCGATATAATTTATATAAGCTTCTAAAGTCTAATAATAAGTGAGCATCGACATTTGATTTTCGTCCTTCATGGACAAACTCCGCTATAATAAAGCTTCTTCTTCTGATGTTGATCTCCCAAACAATTGGTTCGTATCTGCCGAACCCCTCACCCAGTAGACTCCTCGCCATATTAACACAGTCGCTTGCTATCCTAAAAGAGTGCAAGCCAAGATCGCTGGCCAATGCGAGACCTTCTCGACAAGCCACGGCCTCCATCACCTCCAAGTCGGTGTGCCCTTCCACCACCTGGGGCAGACAACCCCAAATAGTTGCCATGCGGCATGCCTTGTGTTGTTTGGCCAGCCTGCTCCATACGTTGACCGGAGCCAATCTGGCCCAGTCCATCCCGGCCCGTGAGTGTTGTTGGACAAGATCTTGTTAGAGGTATGGAAAATCTAACTTGATTCGAGCCTAATGCTTAACTTTTCTTTTAGGCCCTGATTGGGTCCTTAGAATTGAATTTATTTTAATATAATCATAATTTATACACATACTAATTAAGCTAATATGGTTGTATATGGATTATATTTGTATATCGTTGTTAACTATATGAGAGATATATTTATACGTTGCATTTCTACTATAAGGGAGCGAGTTAAAGAACGTGTTATAATTTTGGTTGGGCAAGTTTTCGAACCCAACCAAGCAGGCCCTAAATATGTTAGGTTCAAAAAAAAAAGTATGTTACATCCGATATACACGTTGTGAAATCACATATCAAGTTACACACCCTAATCAACGGTGATGTCACGTGAAAAATGTTACATCCATCATCGTGTTACATACATGCCTGTATCACTATGCGTGCGATCCACCTCATGAATAAATATTACATACTTATAATAAAAATATTAAATGTTTGCCGTGACAACGAAAATATATTCTTATTTTAACACGTCATGTAGTACATGTGATCCTTTCAAATTTAACTTATGCATGCAAATCGTATCTAATATGATAGTACGTGTAAGTGTTTCTATTTTCCATGCTAAATATTTTTTTCTAATTACCACCTAAGAGGTAATACGTATGTGATAAAAATCATTAAGATGGACGGACAACAGTTATTTGAGAGTACCACGTCAAGACCCATTAATTAATGAAGAAAGCAGAGAGCTGGTGACTTTACAGATCTATTAACTTCTCGAAATTTGACTAGAACAACTTACGTTGCAGGTTAGCGACGATGGCCTTTGTTTAGATTGCAAGTTTTTTCACTCTCTTTTCATTACATTAAATTTTTGGACATATGTACGGAGTATTAAATATAGATAAAAAAATAACTAATTACACAGTTTGATTATAAATTACGAGACGAATCTTTTGAGCCTAGTTAAGTCATGATTGGACAATAATTATCAAATACAAACGAAAGTGCTACAGTGTCAAATACTGATTCCTAATCTCAATCTAAATAAGGCCGATGTCATGCCAGGTAAAGTTGTAGGTGAAGAACCCTGGCACACTGGCCACTGCTGTCTTGGAGTTGGAAGTGGAACGCAACATACATCTGCTCCGTCATTAACTGCTTTTTTATAAGCTAGACCAGTGCACCAACAGGGTTTTCCCCAGTCCCACTAGCACCATTGTGGAAAATAAATGAAGGGCTTTGCTGCAACCAAATGTCAGAAGGGCCTCAGCAACAACTGGAATCCATGCAAATCGGTATTCCATCTTTGGTCAGCTGAACAGGGCAATCAATGACATCTGCTTCCATCTTTGGTCAGCTGAACAGGGCAATCAATGACATCTGCTCCGTCATCAACTGCTTTTTGATAAGCTAGACCAGTGCACCCAGGGTAGTCCCCAGTCCCACTAGCACCATTGTGGGAAATAATGAAGGGCTTTCCTGCGGCTCAAATGTCAGAAGGGGCGGTCAGCAACAAATAAACATACTAAACCATTAGATAATAGAAACAAATTAAAGGTGCTACATATACCATGATCAGCGTTGCTCTTGTTTAAATTGGTAAAACATCCTGCACATAAAAGAAAAAGGATGGATAATTAAGAAGCTAAACTCCATGCCAATATAGATCAGATAAACATTACGAACAGTTGATCATGCATGGCCTAAAGAAAAAGGCACACAGAAGAATATAAGTGCTTAATTACCGATAGCCTCTGAAGCTGTGACGGGGAAATCGGTCAATACACCATCAACTGAAAAGATGTTATTATCAACAAACGAGAAATATTCTGCCAGTAGGGGCACAAGCCCCTCTTGTTCTTTCAAAAAAAACGAGAAATATTCTGCCAGCGGATCATAGCTATAGTTGTAATTGAGCGTTATATCATTGGCAAAACCAGCAGCATAGGTTTCCATCCCTGCATCATGACCATCAGTGACGACTGAACTGCATTCTTCGAGATAGTTATCATATGACATGGGCCATATGTAGTGCTTGGGGACAATTATCCCAGATGCAAATGTCTTCACAAACGTAAGATTTTCTAAAAGAGAACCAAAAGTGGCGTTCAGTGATGGCTCGAGACTGGACTCGTCCAGAAAGCAGAAAACGAGCTTTGTTCTGCGGTCAACTCTTCCAAGAATGCTGGTGAGGAAGCTACATTCAGGCGACGAGATGTAATTGGCACGTCTTGATGCAGAGATTATGTAACTCCTCATGCTTAGTCCAAACTGCCTGTAGAAACTATCATGCTGCAAATGGGAAAGAAAGATGAGGTTACTATATATAGTCCCAACAGAGCAGCGCCGGCCGGATACAAAGCAATCTACTGCTGCATGGAGTGGAGCGGCCAAGATTCTTGTACTGTTACCTGTACATTGAGCCAAGTACCAGAGGGATTGAAATTGCTTAACATGTCTTCAACAGTGAGTAATGGAAACATTCCGTCGAACCTTGTCGTTCGAGGAGTGATTGCCTGCTTGACTGCTCAAAACATGATATGTGCAGACATTTGTACCAATCAACCTTTACTTTATTATTATATTATATATAGAGTGATTGCCTGCTTGACTGCTCAAAACATGACATGTGCAGACATTTGTATCAATCAACCTGTACTTTATTATTATATTATATATAACATATATAAATAAAAGAGCCAAGGAACTAAAGATGTTTCTCATCTAAAAATTTGTATCAGGATCTTGCAATGATCTTATATTGTCTTGAGATCAAATTGTACCCATCAAATTTAATAGAAAGCACCTCATCATTTCAATGAAAAACACTGATAGTGTTATATACTTTGTCACTTGTCAGTGGATCACCCTATTTATTCTCACTGTCTATGTGCTTTCGTACAGAATTTTGGAACTGGAATCAGTCCTCATCAACAGTAGAATTTTAGATGACGTGCTTTGGAATCTACCATGTTCCTGTTCGAAGGGTTATGTTATGGAACCAAACTGAAAATTATTACTGATTACAATTATGCTGCGTGCAAAATTGTGTATTCCTAGACTATCAAGGATGATACAATCCTGTAGTGTTGATGTCACCGCCCATGTCCGGATGCCGACGCCGTCCTTTGTTAACCGAACGTCGCGGTAGAGAGGATTGTGTAGCGCCGTGAGCTCCTGGTCGCCGCATATTCATAAGCCAGGCTGCTTGAATCAGCGAATAGCCCTGAAAAGCCTCCCTTGGCTATGATCACTGGAGGGTTGCCTGCAAACAAAGGAACGCCAAGCTCAAACTAACCCTTAGCGATGGGAAAATGCAAGCGTGTCACAGGGATACACTGCATGTCGCGCCCTTGTAGAGATCACGTAGAAAACGTACCATTTAGGGTGTTCCAACCCGTCGGCTTCTGTGCCGCAGAGACGACGGCCAACCACGCCAGCAGCATGAGCGAACGAGGAGATGGGGGCGTAGTACCACGCTCGGCCGCTCCTCCTCGTTGGCCCCATTCCACACCGCAGCACCTCCCCCCCGGACGAGTTTTTTTAAAAGAATACTTATCACTTCAGGGACACTTTGAATACAAATCTGTTTATGTAAATTTTATGTCCTAAACCTATATATAATTTGACATTGTTGGTTAAATTTGGTAAAAAAAATGGCTTTCTATGTGCAAAATACATTTGTCATTCTAAAACGGAGGGACTATGGAGTATTTAATTAGGCACATTTCTGAAGCACCACGTTCCGAAGTATATATCTGCTTTTCATTGTGCTGGATATTGAACTTTCTATGCTGTCGCAGAATGACGATCCAATATAATTAATCCTATCCATCAGCCACTGCTTAGGGCGAGAGAGAAGAGAGAGAATGAGGCCGTTCCTTCACGAAACAACTGTCTCATGAGCTAAAATTTAGGACTGTGAGACAAAAAAAAAACATTAATAAACCAACCAGCCGACCAACAGTGTGTTCCTCTCTCACGAAAAATCAAAGACCAAACAAATTTCAAACCAAAGACCAAAGCAACCATGAACAGGCCCAACTATTGTATCATTGTATGAGTTGTTGTTGTCGTGTAACTCACAATTATATTTTACTCAATGCATAAATTAAGGAATTGTAAGTTACTAAATGACAATCATTGTACATATAAGTTCCGTTCGTTTCGCTGAAAAAACGAATCGAAATACTGTTCCAACTAATTTGTTGCGAAAGGAAAATATTGTTCTAGTAGCTAAAAAAGTATTGATCGTCGTAAATTACGTGGCACTAGACCAGAGCAGTTACGAGACAACACCTGCCCTGACAACCACATGTAACAACTCTACACCGGTGACACACATTCTACTCTCGCACTAAAGCACAAAAAGCACCTCTATCACAGTTATTCACAATGCGACCAGCGCCATTACTGCGCCGACAGCCGCGGCGGCCGCATAGCACGCGAACCGACCGTCGTCGTCTCCGCACGCCGAGACTGGGGCGTCCGCCACTCCCGGTGAGCCGTACTGCGCCGCTACAACCGGCTCCGGCTCCGTCAAGGGCTCACCGGAGTCCTCTTTGCTCGGAGCTGGCGCGGCCGGCACGTCCGCGACTGGCGGCTGGGCGTGGAAGAGCGTGTCCGGGAGCAGCACCCGGTCGAGCTCGTATATCGCCATAGGCGCGTCCACGGACACGCTGCTGACGATCTTGGCGTCGGCCCACGTGGAGTGCACGTGGACGGTGCCAGCGTCGTACGTCACGTTCACCGTGTACAGCCCGCCGGCGAGCGTCGTCACCGGCCTGGTCTGGCTCAGCCGCTCGAAGTCCGCGAGCTCGTAGTGCTTGGGCAGCGAGTGGTACATCATCAGGTTCTTGAGCTGCTGCACGGAGAGATCCGACAGCCTCTGCATGTCAGACACGAAAATCGATGGATCGATCCTGATGTCAGACACCCTTGCTCCGTATTATACAAGTACTCTGCGATGGTTTGGTTCTTGATGACGTTACCGGCGGCTTGACGGCGGCGAAGGCCCTGTCGACGGGGACGAAGATGGTGATGCCCTGGTCCGTCAGGTACGCCTGGCTCTGGAACACTTCCACGAGGTTGGTCTGCTGCAGGTAGCCGAGGAAGGTGCGGAAGGGCCCGTCCAGGGTCAGGATCGCGGTGAGGTTGGCGGTGCGCTTGGCCTGTGGCGTAGGCGGCAATGGCAATGTGTCGGTCATCTGCAGCGTCGTTGCGCGCGACGGCTTGACGAGCGTCCGATGCGCGCCGGCGTGCAGCGCAGACACGGACATCACGGCCGCGAGCAACGCGACGGCGCACTTCATGTTGCAATGCAAGCGTGGAAGAAGATTGCAGTGCGTAGGCAAGACCGGAGGAGGCGAGTTCACGATGAACTGCCGGCTATTTGCGACTGCACACAGACACAGGAGGGCGGGGGAGAGACGCTGAGATGCGATCTTTGTGCGAGCTGTGAGCTCTCGTTTCCTATTTTTCCAGTGGCTCAGAGGACGCAGGACTGTGTCAACTGGCAGACGATCCAAAGTGCCCCCTTGAGAGCTGAGAAATGCAGCTCTGGCCTCTGTCACGGTACAAACGAATCGACACGTCTGCAATGCGATACATAAAAGGTGCAACAGAACTCACTCCTCACAAAAACACTAACGACGCAAATGCATGAATTCGGCGTCTACATCATCAGAAACCCGAAAGACATGAAGAAGGCCAAGTGGGTACCCCGGCGCGCCGCGGATCCTCCCGACGCCCGACGCGCCGCGGATCCTCCCGGCGGCGTCGGTGACGTTCAGCGCGCACCCCGGCGCGAACGTGGGTACGGGTCCCGACGCCGCCAGCGCCGCGAAGGAGGAGAGCGGGAGGTACCGGGGCACGCCGTGGCACAGCATGAGCGTCCGGAGCTGGTCCGCGGTGAGGTTGGACAGGGCGGCCCCGTCCACGGCCGCGAACGCCGAGTCCTGCGGAGCGAACACGGTGACGCCGCCCTGCTGGTCGTGGTCGGTGGTGGCGTTGGCCTGGCTCTGGGACGTCCGGATCACGTCGGTCCGGGTGAGGTAGTCCAGGAACGTCCCGTATGGCCCCGCGAGGGCGAGCAGCTCGGTGAGGTTGACGTGGTGCGGCGCTGGGACAGTGCGGCCCGAGGCAGCGCCAGGCACAGCATCGCGATGGCAAGGACGGCTGACTTGGGCTCCATTGCTGCCAAACACTGCAGCTGCAAGTGCAACCGCGCGCCAGAAGCAACCGTGAGCAAGACGAAGGCTTGCTGAACTGCAGAGGAAGCTCAGGCCGTGGCGAAGCTGTGAACGGATCGCGGGAGAATTTATACTGTATATATGGAGTGTGGTCAAACATAACTACATAAGAAATAGTGGAAGCACCCGGGATGGCATTTGGTTGTCAGTGTGTCGGTACTCGGTAGGCAGTACTGTAGTAGCATACCGTAAAGCTTATAAGTGGTCAACGGAAGACTTTAACACGATCGTTTGGGGAATGTTTCTCTCTGACGGTGGTGGTGGTCAACGTTCCGTCTGATACTGAGAATTCGCGTGTAGTAGGTTTAAGCACGGATTATTGAAATGTTGAGTGGCCAAATGATTAGTGTATGTGATTCGGAGGCGACAGAAGCTGAATCAGTATCATAGTCAAGACAACGGTTATGTTCGGCTGGCTAGAAAAACAGCTGATGCTGATTTATTGAGAGAGAAAAACACTGTTATTTTATTGAAACGGTATGGCCGGTAAGTTCAAACAAACAGAGCCAACAATAGTACTTTCATTAACTTGCATAGCAATGCCACAGTATACATTGAAGTTGCCTACAGTCATACTATCAATTGGGGATAAAAAGGTCCATATTATACTGTTCAAATTTTCAATTTGAATACAAATCGTGAAATTGCCTACTTTACAATCTAAATGACGCCTCAACTAGAACGATGTTGTGTTTGGCGATGGCTTTATATGTAGTTAATGATGTAGCTTTATCTTAATATTTTTAACACTCGGAATCCACAAACACCATGGGATGCTACTAAACTTCACAAAACATCAATCTCACATAAGAAATAAAGATTTTGGCAGCACCTCCTTTGCATTTATAAACAACACAAGAGGAAGATATATAAATAACCAAATAAGCACCAAACTAGAACTAAAGAACAACCTAACAAAAGTATGCGTTACTCCAACAAGAGTAAGTTTAATAACTGCACTTTGAACATTTGTTCTTAAGTCTAATAAACAAAAGTAAATTATTAAGCTTTTAAACATGAAGTCTCTAAATGAAGAAGTGTGACACGTGCAACTAATCTCCTTCCCTTCCAAGTAAGCATCAAGTACCTGGATTGAGTAAAGCAAGGATGAGATGAAACATCTCACCAAGCAAAATGTTTGACAAGCTATTTAAATCACAAGTTAAATTAAACAAGGATTTAACCTAGAGTTCCACTTATACAACAAACAAGATATAATATCAATATAAAATGAGCGACTTACAATTTAGAACATTGTCATATGATAGAGCTTCATAATAACAAGGGGCATATCACTTCAATATTCACCGTGAATGCATATGAATGCAGTGCAAAATGACTCATGCATGCACACCCAACAAGTTGTGGAGCTGTATCCCATGCTGTACCGCGTACCGGTATGGTCATGACCATAGGTCAACGATATAACTTCCAATGCACGTGAACGATGCAATGCACATGGCATGTTGCAATAAAAAACACATAAACCACCCTTGATACTTTAATCTTTAAAGGTGTGGATTAGCCACATACGCTGTTTGAGTTTTCCGTATATTTAAAACCTTAACAACTATGATAGCAAGTAAATACTCCACAAGCATCTACACAGAACAAGCTACGACGTTGGTACTCAAACAAAGTTCAAATTTGGCCATCTACTATTTTTAAAACAGCCTACAAACTAAAAGATATGTTCGGTCTTTGATAACAATGACATTTTTAAACAAAAACCATACCTCCCAAACCATCCAACCAAAAATAGAATTTAAATACTCGATGCAAAGTTCATACAATATACTACACATAACTTCATAGCGCACTAGACCAAATTGGCCTGAAGGAACTCTTAAACTAACATCCAAAACTGAAGATCGAAACTGAAACTGTAATATGACATTAAAACAGGACAACTAACTTTAAAAATTCATAACTTGAGATATACTAATTCAACAATTGTAAACTTTACCAACCTGGACAGCTTATAAAACATTCTACCACTTTCAAGTTAAAACTTTTGGAGTTTGAGGAGTTTAAGATACACAAAATACGATTGCAAAACAACCAAGCGTTTTTATGTCAAAACAACAGTAGAGCACTAAAACAATCATAACTCGAGATATACTGATCCAAAATTTATGATCCTTATCAATATGAAAAACTTATGAAATTCCCTACAACCTTCATTTAGATCATGCCACGAGATTCTGGACTTAAGATATGATAAAATGGAATGCCCTAATTCTAACAGCACAAAAGCATCATCAAACAAAGATCATATCTTCTAGACCATAAAGGCTACTAAGGTGATCTTTACAAGAAAAAAAAAGATATTGAAGTCTACAACTTAAATATGCAGTTTGTGTGTCTCCTCGTGCACTAGGCTAGCGGCGTACGGAGTAGTAAACACTTAGCTCGCTCGTTTGTTTCCTTGTGCATGCAAAGCTGTACTCGGCAGGGAGCGTGTAAGCCAAACCTTTGCTAGCGGCTACAAGTAAAGTGTTAAGTAGAGTTAATATTATTCTTGGTCTTGGTGAAAATTATTTAGGCACCTGTAAAACTTAGAAGGAGGAAGTAAAATCGTAGAGATCAACGAGATCTATAAGTGCTTGTTGCCAAAAACTTTTCAAAAAAGTGTTACAGTAGCTATCACATCGAATCTTGCGATACGTGCATGGAGCATTAAATGTAGACGAAAAAAAAACTAATTGCACAGTTTTGTTGGAAATCGCGAGACGAACGTTTTGAGCCTAATTAGTCCATGATTGAACACTAATTGTCAAATAAAAACGAAATGGCTACAGTAGCCAAATTCCCAAAATTCACGAACTAAACACAGCCTAATTTTGTAGTTGACATTTTGTTAAAATTATTTAGAGTGTTAATTTTTTTAAAAAAATGTTAAACTTTGAAATTCAAATTTCACTTTTTTAAATGATTGGCAAAGTAAAATTTCAAACGACCAATGAAGTGGTTGCCATCCCTAACACATTTGCTCCTTTCTCTTCCAAGGTTACGACTTCTCTAGTTGATGGTGCTCGAACTAGTGGCCCACCTCATGGTCATGAGCCTTGTTGCCGGCATGATGTACAAAACTTATGAATCTAGAAAAGACAAAACAATTTGTAATTTCGAATAAAGGGAGTAGGAGACAAATCCTATTGAAGTCACATAGGATTGTTATGTTGCTGCGCTTGGATGTAAAGCAAAAATGGCATTTTATACCCTGTCTCACTCCAACATGTGGTGCTGATATGTGGGCACCACATGTTAGGTCCACGTCAACCTTGAATTAACTTACCACATATTTGCTATCGGTTCTGTGCCTATTTGGACCCACACTAGGATCTGAATCAAGTTCATGTATCTAAAAATACATTTTAAGAGTTTGTGGATGTATTTATCATCTCCTATCAAGTTTAAGCACCATTGGTGGATTTTACTTAGAAAGGAGCAAAATCTAATTGAAGTCGAAGAGAATCGTTATGTTGGCACACTTTGATGTAAGGCAAAAATGACATTTTCTACCCTCTCACACTCCTAAAATCAGAAAAAAGTGAATATTATAATTTTGCTGTTTAAATGAGCAAAGAAAAATCACGCTTTTATAATAGTAAGTTGCCAATTTGAGCGTCGTTCGGCTTACCTTATAATCGCACTATTCAGCTTGTTTTTTTCAGTCGGAAAAATATTTTTCTCTCACAACAATTCAGCCAGAACAGTGTTTTTCAGCCAATTCAGCCAAGTTTCAGCAAGCCGAACGGGGCCTTAGTCATTTGTAGTGTGAAATGGTAATTCCATGTTGGTTGGATGTGGCACGATAAAATTTGCGTAGAACAACTTGCCATTGACGAAGCACAAGTAGATGAGCAAGCACAATACTAGGTCTTGATTACCTTGTGCTGTTTCTTGTGTTGAGCACGTCGTGATTGAAAACTGTAACGCGCCTAGTATGATTCGATTAACAAATCTCTCGGTCCCTCGCACGAAATTAAATAGTACTAAACAGAAAATAGCAAAGACCTGCTTGTGAATTCGGTCCCCAAAAGACTCGCTCTCCTGTCAGGCAACCACGACTGGCTTTCGAAAATAGACGAAGGGGTTAGAACTCAGGAGTCAGAACATGAAGCCGTACGTCTAGGAGAACAGCAAATTCTGTTCCCGGCGGGGGAGGCCCAGACGTGCTCGCCGCGAATCAGCCTACAGCTCTCGGTGTACGGTGTCTCACTGTCCCAGCCCTTGCCGACACGCAAATTGTCACATGGACAGCTAAAGAAAAGCCGGCATATAGATCAATATACCGTCCATATCAGCCCAATCAAACAGGCCCAATTTAAGGAAGCCGCTTAGCCCAGCCCACACTTCGGCATGGCCGCATCCGAGTCATGTGTTCGGATCGGCCTGTCTGTCAGTTTCCGCAGCACTGGACCGGGCTGTGCTCCTCCGTACTACTCCATCTGTGGCCATTTCAGCTCGATCGGACACCGTGCTAGTCTCCTAGACAATCTGAAACTCTGAAGACTAAACATCAACGTTCGCTGCTCCATGTGTGGTTAACTGCCTGCTCCTAGGATCATCATCATCATCATTTAATAAGAGTTCTAATATAATTTTTTTGGAAGACGCCTCCCAACATGTCATGTGGCGTCCAATCAGAAATAGAAAAGGACACCGGCCGGCCATGATCAAGTACTCCTACATGTCAACACACACATACAGGAGGGACCTCACCTGATCTGCCACCGGCCAATCGATCTCGCGCACCGCCACCGGGACCTAATGATTTCGTTAGCGCGTTCCGGTTCCGTGACGACCTGACTCGTCGGTAAAGCTGTACGTGCACAAACACTTGTTCTGCTGCCCAGCTGTACGACTGTAGTAACATTTTGTGGTGCAATGGTCTGAACAAGTCCATTCATAAAATGAACGTACAAACTGGTATGGTATACCAATACGCAATAGCTAGCTCACTTCCACGCAGGCCTAGCGCTATCATCACCCATAATCAGCTAGGATCAGCTATTATTCAGCTGGCAAATGGAAACGGGGGACGAGCGAGCGAGTGCTCCGTCGCCGTCCACGAGCACCGGTGAGATGAGTCGTTTTCCGTACGCGCTGCAACGCATCTGCTCCCCAGCCTCAAATGGCAAAGCCAAATGGGAAAATGGCAGTAGTACTGCAACTGCAGTGACGAGAGCTGCCGTGCATTAGCTGGGGTTCTTCTTTTCCTTGATGATGCTCGCTCCTCCTGCTCTCCATTAGCTGGAGTGTTAACTTGCAGGTCAAACATGCATGACAGGGTGGCCGATTGCCTGCTTGATTTTTCGAGGAGCTGAAGGGTTGGGAAGGAAACCTGAATGAATCCAACGGTGCGTCACTGCTGCGCTCTACCTGGAGCCTGGGGGACTTGGTTGGTTGCCGGTGGGACTGCTTTTGTGCTGCGCGTCATGGGATTCCTGCCCACTGGCTGGCCACCTGCGCCGCTCATGATCCGTGGGCCGTGGCAGCGGGCGAGCAGGCAGAACATTACTCCCGCGTCCTGTTTTCTTGGCCCCGTAACAATCGTGGTATCCCGAGGCCTGATTGAGAGAGCTACCTGCTCGGCGCCGCCTCTGCTCATCAGCTGGCGGCACTTCCTGCGCGACTGGATGAACCTGTGGTCCGGGCTCCGGGGACCGGGAACCGGGGGTGCCGACTGCCGAGCTGCGCCCCGTTCGGGCAGTTCGCGACTTCACCATGCGGCCATGCGTGGAACCCGTGGGATCCCGCCGAAAAAAACGCCAGCCGACCGGCCCGTTCCATTCCGCCCGGATCGACAGCATAATGTAATTATAGTAGGTTCCTTAACTGTGGATGTAATCTCGTGCCTGTGTGGTTGGCTTGCATGCCACCCTAGCTGTCTATACGTACTCTGGTACACGATATGGAATACAATCAATCATTCCAATCACTCTCACATGGTATCATTCGCGGTTATGATCCGCTACCCTAGCTTGCCGCCGATCCGATCGCCGCTCCCGTCGCTGACTCCGTCGCCGGGTGTGTCGCCGATCCCATCGCCAGCGCTCCCGCAGCCACCGGTTCGCTGCGCTGCTCCTTCCTGATGGCGAACGACGATGCTGCCGCCGCCACCGCCAAGGAGGTCCGACGCGCCGAAGACGCTCACCGCGCTAAGGAGGCTCGCCTCCACGTCGCCGCCTTGGACGAGTACGAGAACGCCCACGAAGCACTATGGGCACAGGCCACGGCCGTCGTCAACCCTGACACTGGTGGCCAGCGCAACGGCCGCCGTCGCGGCTACGGTGGACGTGGTGGTCCCTCGGCACCTGCTGGTGGCGCCCCCCAGGCATGCACCCGTCCTTCACGTATCCGTGGGCGGGTACCGTCTAGATGTGGTCATATGACCGGTCTGGGCGCCCTCCGACGGCTCCACCGGCGTTCACCGCCCTTCCACAGTATGGCGGCAAC